CATTAAAGGTCTGTCTGTTACAGGGGAACTCTGGACTGGGCTTCAGCATCGCAGGAGGAACCGATAATCCTCACATCGGAGACGACCCGTCCATCTTCATCACCAAGATCATCCCTGGAGGAGCTGCTGCCCAGGATGGACGCCTCAGGTACCAAAGGTTCTGACCCGCGTAGAAAGAGGCTAACCAGATAATATCTCTTTCATTTGAGCTGAACTAAATCAATCATTTTCATTTATTGCAGAAATATTGAACACCTTTTTACTTCAGTGAAACTTCTTTTGATGTCAGAACTCCTCAATGATCAGAACCAGAACAATAGAACTGCAGAACATTCTAATTGGGTCTGCTAGTGGCTGACTGGACCCTTGATCTGTACCAGAACTGTTGCAGCTAAGGTTAACTGGGGTCCAAGCTTTCTCCACATGGAGGTGGAAAGTTCTGAGATCGGAAGAACTTCCTCTGCTGCAGCGTTTGGACAGAACTAGATGTTCTATTGTTAGCCCTGGCTGCTGCAGACAGGCTAACGTTAGCCCGTCTAGTGCGGCCAGGGCTAACAATAGCCTGTATGCAGCACCCAGGGCTAAATTTAGCCCGTCTGCAGTTGCCAGGGCTAACGTTATTCCGTCTGCAGTGGCCAGGGCTAACGTTAGCCCGTCTGCAGCAGCCAGGGCTAACGTTGGCCCGTCTGCAGCGGCCAGGACTAACGTTAGCCCGTCTGCAGCAGCCAGGGCTAACGTTGGCCCGTCTGCAGCGGCCAGGACTAACGTTAGCCCATCTGCAGCAGCCAGGGCTAACGTTAGCCCATCTGCAGCAGCCAGGGCTAACGTTATTCCGTCTGCAGTGGCCAGTGCTAACGTTATTCCGTCTGCAGTGGCCAGGGCTAACATTGGCCCGTCTGCAGCGGCCAGGTCAGTTGCCAGGGCTAAAACGTCCCCTGTCCTCCATTGCTCAATCTTTACGACCAACGGGGCTCTGGTGAGGCAGAAGTTACAGAACCGATGACAGAACCTCATTCAGTTTTTTCACTTGTAGGTTTAGAAATGGATCATGTACCATGTCATGACAAAGGGTCACAGAACCGAACCACCCTGGCTCTGAACCCAAATTACACCTGGTTCTGATTTAACCTACTTAGACCTTCAGCCCAGAGTGGACCTGGTTCTGATCCAGACCCTCTGACTGCGGCTCCGGCCTGGTCCAGAACCTGATGCTGTGTCTGTCCGCAGGGTGAACGACAGCATCGTTTTTGTGAACGACGTGGACGTGCGAGAAGTCTCTCACTCATTGGCTGTGGAGGCCCTGAAGGAGGCGGGGCCTGTGGTCCGACTCTACGTCCTGAGGCGCCGCCCCCCCACCGAACGCATCATGCAGGTCAAACTGATGAAGGGACCCAAAGGTGAGCAGAGCCGTGGTCTGTTCTGATCATCAGGAGCTGTGATAAACGGGCATCAGAACCAGAGCAGACACATCTATTGGACCTGACCAGAACCAGCATATTTAATGCAGTTAGTGTGAGAGGATGGTTCTGGCTCCGCCTCCTCACCGTTTGAACCTTGACCTGGTCTCAGCTGCACAGCTGAACCTCAGTAATTTCTGCAGGAAGCTACCAGAACTTTTCGTTCCGTGAAAAGCCTCCCTCTGCGTGGTTCTGAATGGAGAAAGAAGTTCTGTTTTAGGCTCATTAATGCTTCTTCAGACACCAGAACCAGAACATGTCTAACTGGACCCTGGTTCTTGTTGAAGCTAAGGAAACGGTCCTCAGTTCCTCTGTCTCCATCAGAACCTTCTAGAGATTTCAGGGTCCAGATAGTTGATCTCTCAGGGTTTTTGGGGTCCGTTGCCTTCAGTTCCAGAACCAGCTGATGCTGTGTCTGCCTAACCGGTCCTGTGTGGTTCTGGTCCAGGTCTGGGCTTCAGCATAGCGGGCGGAGTGGGGAACCAGCACGTTCCCGGAGACAACAGCATCTACGTCACCAAGATCATCGAAGGCGGAGCGGCACACCGAGACGGACGGCTGCAGATCGGAGACAAGATCCTGGCTGTAAGTGGGTCAGAACCTTCTGGTCCAACCAGAGTCTGGCTGTGAGCTGACCTGAGGTGTCCTCTGTAGGTGAACCACATGTCTCTGGAGGACGTCCTGCATGAAGACGCCGTGGCGGCCCTAAAGAACACCGGAGAGGTGGTTTACCTGAAGGTGGCCACCCCCACCTCCCAGTACATCCACCAGGTGGACCGGTACAGCCCGCCGGACCTCACCAGCTGTAGGTAACCCCCATCCTGGGTTCAGAACCTTCTAGAGTCCATCATTGTCCTCAGTGTCTCCGTTTGTCCTGCAGCCTACATGGAGCCGGACTACATGTGTGATTACCCACAAGCCCTGCCGCCCCCCTCGCCCCGCCGCTACTCCCCCATCCCCCGCGGCATCATGGGGGAGGACGACTACTCCAGGGAGCCCCGCAGGGTCTGCATCCAGAGGGGGTCCACGGGTCTGGGCTTCAACATCGTGGGGGGGGAGGATGGAGAGGGCATCTTCATCTCCTTCATCCTGGCGGGAGGTCCGGCTGACCTGAGCGGGGAGCTCCGCAAAGGAGACCAGATCCTCAGCGTGAGTCCACCCAACCGGACCTTAGAACGGGGCAGAACTTTACATCAGCGGCCCGACTGAGGGTTCACTGGGCTGAAGGTCTGCTGATGGTCACACAGTGTCTCTGAGTCTCTACCGACCTTAAAGTTCACGTTCTGATGGTTAATGTTTGGTCCATCCTGGATCAGACCGATCCCCTCCTCCTTTACCGGCTCCGGGTCCAATCAATGAAAGCTGGCAGCCAGGCTGGTTTCTGACCGCCAAACACTTCCTGTTGGTCTGTGAACAATCCGTTCTAAAGGTCCAGACAACCATGGAGCTCCACCTCAGAGGGTGGAGGTCATTTATCACCTTCTACAAACTGTGGAAGCAGAGCAGACACCTGGACTCCTGCTGACCCGGTTCTATCAGAACATGTGGAGAACCTGAACCTGGAGGGCGGGTCTCTGCTGCTTGGAGGTCCAGGCTCAGTCCAGACCAGATGCCTCCATAATTGCCCCCCAGGCCTCACCTAGAAGCTGCCTCTGTGTTCTGATTTATATCCGACATGTTTCTGACATCTCTAACTACACGGATATGATCAGGAAC